TCGCTATTTGCGATTAGCGCCATTGCGCCTAAACGGTTAATATTATACGCTTTTGTTTGCCGTTTGTGTAGACATATGTTGTTTATTATGTTACTTGTTTAACTATTCGTGCAATATGTTGCATTTAGTTAGTAAACAAAGTTTAACGTAAGTCTGTGACACGAGAGATTGTTCCAGAAATTTGTATTGTATCACATGTGATAATACTTCATGCAAATGTGATATGTGAAACATTGCTAAATATTAATTGTGAACTGTTTGTGTTTACAGTTTGACCGCACACGTATGCACATAAATGTACAAGAATTCTAAATTACAAGTAAACAACAACTACTACCAAAATGTGTACGGTGTGAGTTCTGCACTAGTGGAATAAAGGACAAAATCAAGTTCCAAGTTAATGTTATCATTTCACGGGTAACATTAAAGTCAAACATAGACAGATAGATAGATAGATAGGTAAATAGATAGATTCAGAGAAACACACTGGTCTTTTGTCAGATCACCTGTTGTGCACCTAATTAGGAAAACTGAAAGGATCATCAGCCAACATGGCATTGTACATGGTGTGATATTATCAAAATGCATGGTATTTTGCAATGTAATATTAAGTTACAAGTTATATTGTTTGTTCTTTTGTTGTGGCCAGGTGAAGTAACCAGAACATTATTTGATTCTTATCTTAGAAAATCAATTTAATTTGCATTGACAAAATATTATTATTTTATGTACAAATAACAATGTGATTAATTATTACATTATTATTAGTACACTATTATTGTGCTGATTGCAATGCATCCCACATTTCTGTTAAAAGAACAGAATATAAAATTTGTTTATTGGCAATTTGAGAAATAACCTAAGCATTCTGAACGCAAGGTGGTGCTGTAAGACTAAATATTCAGCTTCAACAGTCAGGTTAGCCCGGTTGCAGAGATGGAGGTATGAGTTCGGTGTCATCTCAAGGTTTGTTTCTGTCATGTCTTCCACCGGAGCTGATCACGTCAGTACTGCAGTCGGCGCCTGGATGATGCTAAACGCTCTCCACAGCTGTAGGTTAATTTCTCAAGTGCGTGTAATCACGTGAATTTAAATTAAATTAGTTGTTTCAGTGAAATAAATTATCTTGCCATCTTTACTCCACAAGTGTTCACTGAGTTAAACACAATACAAAATATCCCTTTATGCACACCATAGTTGATATGATCAACGAGGGGGCAAGAACAATATGGACAAGTTTTTTTTTTTTCACAGTCTATATTCTTTTTATATTTCATGGAAGTTTATAGAAGACTGGATAACTGGAAATGGGCCAGAGGTGTTTGGGCTTTTACCTGTATACCCACTGAAGAAGTTAATGGCGTTTAGCCTGGACAGCACATGAATGGAAGCCCTCATGGAAAAGGTAAGTGTAGGCTGACTAGATTTCTGAAATGTAAACTGGGGACATTTCCTAGTTCAGTGGTCAAAATGTCATTGAAATCTCACTTGCTGTTATCTATTAATCAAATATTGTAGGCTATTTATTATCAATATTATTATTGTGGATGCCATATACTAATATTAGCAGCAAAAAGAACAAAACAGCATTATATTATCACAAAATTATGATTTTACAAAAACAAATTACAAAAATAAAACAAAGTATGATATAAATAAAACTGTATTTAACAAATATTTCTAACGTTTTCTATTAAAGGCACAATATGTAATTTTCGCCGCTAGAGGAGGCGTATTCAAAATAAACAAAGAGGCAAAGGCTTAGTTTGATGACGCTGTGACTGAGTGTGGAATCATGGGAGTTGTCATCTTCGTCCACACAGCCAATGCAATCCGACGGGACTCAGGCAGAAATCATGTTCATGGATGAGCTAATGATTTATTAACTTAGTAGAATGAAGCAGGGTGAGGCTGAAAGCCTTGAAGCGAAACAGGCCACTGAATGAGCGTGACACACGGCTCGAAAGCAGCGGAGCTTTTATTATGCCACAGTCGACCGCTTCTGCTCTTTCCGGTCGTGCGAATGTTGGGGGAAAAAAGCAGTGCTGTTTTATCATACTAGATACATTTATTTATTTATTTTTATTTATTTAGTCATTTAGCAGACGCTTTTATCCAAAGCGACTTACAAATGAGGACAACAGAAACAATCAATTGTAGTATTAAAACAACTAAAAACAGATCCAAAACTAAAAGCTAAAACTTTATAAATACTACTTATACACATTTTAAATATAAATAAATTAAATAAAAATGTCAAATGCATACAACAGAATTTCAAAACTTTTAACATTTAAATGAAAAACAAAAAATAAAGCTAAAAACAATTAAAAATATTAAAGAACAAAAGTATAAGAGTATAATAACGATTCTAACATAACACTAAGCCAAACACCAAAAAAACAACTACATATGTGTATGTACAACATTACACACACAAATATATATGGAAAGAGGATAAATAAAAAGCGATACTTATCCTTTGCCGGTGTCCCCGCCCCGTGATGGTCTTTACAATCTTCGGTCTTCACACGAGGAGGCCGTCACATAAACTAAGCTTTTTTATACCCGCCTAACAAAATACTAAATTAATTCAGCTGAACACACTTTCCTTATTTTTTCCACAACAAATGGCCAAGCAAGCGCAAACACTGACAAGATACGCGATACAGAACGAGACCAAACGCGATATCAGCACGTCTCCACACAGGTGGCTTTTGGATATTTATAAAAAAATCTTACACATCGTGCCTTTTAAATGTTGTAATTTTTACAAACTGTGAATGTGCTGTGTACACTGTACAGTTCTCATGTTTTTAGAATGTTTTTAGTTTTAGAAAATCTTTACTATCTTGAATTTAGGCTTATTGTTTTTGCATTTTAGGCTCACTTTGAGCAAAAATTATTATATGCTTTCTTCAAGTGTAACTGTTGAAAGTGTAATTGTTTCGTTGATTTTTTTATTTATATTTTCTTAATATTTCACCCATGTGGTATTGTTACGTGTGTTTGGGAATTAACTTTCGGGAACGTTTAAAACTGTATACAAAATCCTGCAGCCTGTTCAGGTCCTTTTATATAGTGCATACAAACAGTATTACTTTAATTTATGTGACTACCTTGAAACCGATAATGGTGTCTCTTTTGTTAATTGGTTGTAATAGTGTTTTGCTCTCATTCAGGTTAAATTCTTCATGGCTAAAGTAGCAGTGTGCGATCAAGTAGTCCATATAGCTTTCAGCCTCCTCTATTAGTGACGATATTTGCTACACGATTGCCCTGCTAACCAAGTGGCCTATGTTGGTCAAGTTTTGTGCAGTGACATTTCCAGGGACAGGACACCAGAAACTGGGATTGTCCCCAAAAACTTAAATGTTTGGTCACCCTATGTTAGTAAGCCCATCAGCCAGAGGATGCTCATCCTGTGGTCTGTGTGGGTTCTGTATAGTGCTAAATGCATACTTTGTGGTTAGTAAAAACCTCAGGGTTCTTTTCAGAAAGACTAGGGGTGTAAGCTTGGTGTAGTAATAATCCCCCTTCCCCCATGTGGTTCTAAATCTCTAGCCAAAATGGTGGACACTTTGGTGCACTCGTTGTAGCTGCTGCCACATATAGGCTACTGCTTACAGGACTTTCCAGGATGTGAATATTTGAAGATGTGGGGATTGAGATTGAGGTTGTGTTGTTGGTCTTATTCATCCATGAAATGTGTCTTCCATGCTGAAGATCCCCTCTGGACACCAAAGTAGTGCATCTTGGAAATCGCACACTTACAGACACTGAAAAGACTAAAGACAGCATCACAAAATAAATAGAGCACTTCACATTTCACACTGAAATGTTTACATTTCAAATGCACAGTCACTCTGAATTGCTACATACAGTAAGGGTTTTTGTACAGTGTACGTGTGTTTCCTGTTACTGTGGGCCTCAAAGCACAGTAATACATAGCGGAATCCGTAACTGCTGCAGAGGAGATTTCCAGATGAACACGTTTCTGTATTTTATCAAGTTTGATTGACAGACGTGGGAAAGGTGGATTGGCTTTTGTCACATATTTAGAAGCTTCATCAATCATTATTAGAAACTCTGGTCTTGATCCAGGTTTTTGTTGGTACCAGTGCAAACTGTCTATTGAGCCTTCATATATGCATGACAGTGTCATGTTTGTATCCTCCATTAACTCTGTGGTGTTTTTGTCTGGTTTGATTGAATACCCAGTAGTTTCACCTGTAAAGACATATATATTTAGCACATAATATTTGGTATTAAAAGAGAAAAACAGGAAGTAGTTTGTCTTTTTACCCCAAAACAAGAACCAATTAAAGCTAATTTCTTACCAAAGTAATTGAAAAGTATGAACAGACAGAGCAACAACATCGTTTTTGTGAAGATTTCTCAAGATCACTGAAAGTCCTCTTCTGTCTTCAGAGGCATTGTGCCGTTCTTTTGTTTTGCAGTGACTTTCCCCTCAGCTAGCTCCACCCCCCACTCATATATTAGTACTTTCACAGCTTCACACATACTTCAGACGTTCTCCATGTTCTTTCTTCATGCAGAGTTTGGTACAAAGTTTTACCATTTAATAGTCTGCAAACGGTGTATCAGGTCTGTCATTGGGTATGCTGAGAATCGTCCTTGGAATACAGCATAGTCACTTCTTGGTAAAGATTACATTTGCTGAGTATACCGAATTTTCTGTACCTAGAAGAAACATGATGTCTCTTGTATTTAAACAGGGATTGGAACACACTGAATCTGTGCAATCTTTCTGTTATATGTTTATAACTATGTACAACACCTTCAGAGCTGGTAACTTGCTTTATTATAGGAAAGAATTTTCATAGAAAAATGTTGTTTAAGTACTTTTTCTGCATATGTACTAAATACTTGCTGAGTATGTTTTATTACTGTATATTGTTTATTGACTCTTTCTAATAGTTATATATGAAGTTTTTAAACTGAGCATCATGATCGTCATCTTGAATGTCATTTCACATTCAGTTTTTGCACAGTGAAGTTGTGCTTCCTGTCACTGTGGGCTGCAGGGCACAGTAGTACATGGCAGAGTCTATCACTTCTGTAGAAAAGATGGTCAAATTAATACTTTTGGCTGCTTTATCAGCCGCAGCGGTCAGACGGAGAGCGAGCTCTGATTTAGGGCTGGTTTCAAAGAACATAATGAGGTGCTCAGGTTTGGATCCGGGATACTGACGGTACCACTGTAAACTGCGAACTGTGCCAGTGTAGTTGCAGATCAGTGTAACATCTTTTCCTGCCAAAACCTGCTTCTCTGTGAAGACTGGTTTTATGACATCATCAGCAGCGTTCTCTGTTAAAAACAAACAACTTTTAATTAATAATTTCTAGTGGACTAATTCAGATTATCAACAGTATAAAAATCAGGGGAAAAAAGCATTATGAATCACTCACCTTTTAGGAGAGAAAATATCATAAATACCAGGAGCAACATTTACACTAATGAGAGACTAACAGTTCTCTTCTAGAGTATGACTGGCTCTATGTATGTCTGCTCTGTTTTTAAACAACTGAACCGAGACTGAGGATGGTTCCTGAGCTCCACCTTCTGGCAGCAGAATGCATATGAGATGACTTTTGCTACAATATCTCATTGTTTTTTTTTAATGGGATGTATCAACAAGAACAAATAAGAGCTTACTGAAAGCCTTTGGCCTAGTAAATTTTACAGTAAGAAGAATTAAATTATTAATAGAGCAAATATTTTAAATATTTATATTTTAAGTTATGAGGACTGTCACTGTCCAGAGAGATCCAATTGATTGTAAAATGTATGTTTACTGTGCAAAGAAATCAAGTGGCAAAATTATGACAGTTAGTCAAGCAAAGTCTCATCTGCAGGAATTTGTCCTGTCTATAGACCTATAAGGAACTTTTGCTTATTTGTTTTGTTTTATTAATTTTCGTATAAGTTATACTAAGTAAGGTTCATGCTTACAACCTTTTTTTAACATATCACAGTGTAGTTGTTTTTGCTTTAATTAAGGTCTTTATGATATCAAAATTTTGATACTATAGAAATTTCATAATTCTGGTCACCAGTGTCAATATCACAAAAAAACGAATACTTCCTGAAGACAAGTAAACAGACAGCGTTTAAATAAGAATAAGATACTAATTACAAGCAATAGGGCAAAAAAAAAAAACCTACAGTAGAACAAATAAATAAGCAATGCTACATTATAAAGTAATCAAATGTATAAAAACACTGCATGTTCTTCACTGTGAAAATTAAATATATATTTCTTCTTATTAAAGTTACAAAAGTGATTTAGTCGAGCAATATTTTCTCAAGAGGGAGATATGTTCTCTCTTTTGTTGTTTGATTAACATGAATGACAGACAGCAGGAATATTAGACTGCTGTAAGAGCTGCCCGGATCCAATATATTACACGTTTTCTTTCTCAGCTGTTTGCTTTCACTTAAGACCTAAAGTACTGTGTTTACAAGGATACTTGCAAAGACGGGCATTTTGACACATACAAGTGTGTGTATAAAGCAGCAAAAATAGCTCAGTTCAATACTCCCGTGCTCTATGAGCACCGTCTTCACGTGCGCGCGCATATAGTGAAAGGAGTTCTCTTTGAGAATTGGTCCCTAAGCTAAAGCGTTAATTAACTTTTATTCGTTTTGTTTTATTAATTTTTGTATAATTAATACTAATTTAGTTTCATGCTTGTATGCAGTTTTTTTCCCTTCCAAATTTTGCATAATGTTTTCTAGTACTATGGTGTACTGGTTAACTTGGCGTATTGTAAATTATAATATGTTTTGTCTTGTAATAGTGGCTTTAAATGACCAATAAATAAGTAAATGGTGCATAACATTTGCTAAAATGGTACAGTAATTCTCAGAGAAAACCACCTTATAAGGAACGGAAAGTTGAGACACTGCATGAGGGCAGGCTTAGATATATGCAGGGACGTGCACAGACATTTTGAGGGGCAGGGGCTCAAGTGGAAAAAAGGGCACTTCTCATATTTATTTAATTTTTTTTCTAAACAAACGTTAAATATATTAGGGGTGTGTGATATTGACAAAAATATATCTCAATATTTTCTGGGATTTTATCAATAACGATAATTAGATGATATTTTGCTGAGTGTGTTATTGTGCTGATATCTTAAGGACTACCGTGGACAGCTGACTCCAAAAAGTTTTTGATATTCTGCATATTCTGTGTGGTGGTCAGTTCACAGTGATAGAAATTAATCTTTTCCAATAAGTTTAAATGGTTTTTTTACCTTTTAATGGGCATTTTTACCTTTTTTAAGCCATTTTTTTCTAAAAGTGTGCATCATCTTTTCAGTCAAATTCTTAAATTGAATTAGTCAATTAGAATAATAAGTCATTTGGGCTGTTACCAAGCAAATGAAATCAGTATTGACCAAATTAATCTTTGCAATGCAGAGAAAACACAGACGCTGCATTAGAAGGGACATTTAGATGCATTTACACTAGGGCTGAACGATTAATTGCATTTGCGATAATATCGCGATATGAAAAAAACGCGATTTTTCAATCGCAGAGGCTGCGATTACACTCGGTCACGTGACACGCGAGAGTAAAGAGGTGTGTTCGACATGAAGATCGATCGGTGTATGACATCAAAGTATGGCGAGAGAAAACATAAGGAGACGTCCGCGCTCTCTTATAGCTTTCGCAGTACTTTGATGACACACACCCATCGGTCTAAGCAGTACTTTATCTGACATAAAGGATCCGCGAATGAAACTGTGACCACAAACACCATTAACTTAAGTGAATTATATGGTAATGATCAGCAATATGCTTTTACACAAATAACTTTTATTTTTGAATGTTTCATATGTGTTGACACAAATGACTTATTTGAATTTTTCACTGATACACAACATTGCACTAAGTTGTTAGAAAAGAAATGCGTAGAGACGTTATTGCTTGATGACGTCAGGAACCGATGAATCGGCTTTTTGAACATACTTTTGGCTGCTTTATCAGCCGCAGCGGTCAGACGGAGAGCGAGCTCTGATTTAGGGCTGGTTTCAAAGAACATAATGAGGTGCTCAGGTTTGGATCCGGGATACTGACGGTACCACTGTAAACTGCGAACTGTGCCAGTGTAGTTGCAGATCAGTGTAACATCTTTTCCTGCCAAAACCTGCTTCTGTGTGTAGACTGGTTTTATGACATCATCAGCAGCGTTCTCTGTTAAAAACAAACAACTTTTAATTAATAATTTCTAGTGGACTAATTCAGATTATCAACAGTATAAAAATCAGGGGAAAAAAGCATTATGAATCACTCACCTTTTAGGAGAGAAAATATCATAAATACCAGGAGCAACATTTACACTAATGAGAGACTAACAGTTCTCTTCTAGAGTATGACTGACTCTATTTATGTCTGCTCTGTTTTTAAACAACTGAACCGAGACTGAACTAGGATGGTTCCTGAGCTCCACCTTCTGGCAGCAGAATGCATATGAGATGACTTTTGCTACAATATCTCATTGTTTTTTTTTAATGGGATGTATCAACAAGAACAAATAAGAGCTTACTGAAAGCCTTTGGCCTAGTAAATTTTACAGTAAGAAGAATTAAATTATTAATAGAGCAAATATTTTAAATATTTATATTTTAAGTTATGAGGACTGTCACTGTCCAGAGAGATCCAATTGATTGTAAAATGTATGTTTACTGTGCAAAGAAATCAAGTGGCAAAATTATGACAGTTAGTCAAGCAAAGTCTCATCTGCAGGAATTTGTCCTGTCTATAGACCTATAAGGAACTTTTGCTTATTTGTTTTGTTTTATTAATTTTCGTATAAGTTATACTAAGTAAGGTTCATGCTTACAACCTTTTTTTAACATATCACAGTGTAGTTGTTTTTGCTTTAATTAAGGTCTTTATGATATCAAAATTTTGATACTATAGAAATTTCATAATTCTGGTCACCAGTGTCAATATCACAAAAAAACGAATACTTCCTGAAGACAAGTAAACAGACAGCGTTTAAATAAGAATAAGATACTAATTACAAGCAATAGGGCAAAAAAAAAAAACCTACAGTAGAACAAATAAATAAGCAATGCTACATTATAAAGTAATCAAATGTATAAAAACACTGCATGTTCTTCACTGTGAAAATTAAATATATATTTCTTCTTATTAAAGTTACAAAAGTGATTTAGTCGAGCAATATTTTCTCAAGAGGGAGATATGTTCTCTCTTTTGTTGTTTGATTAACATGAATGACAGACAGCAGGAATATTAGACTGCTGTAAGAGCTGCCCGGATCCAATATATTACACGTTTTCTTTCTCAGCTGTTTGCTTTCACTTAAGACCTAAAGTACTGTGTTTACAAGGATACTTGCAAAGACGGGCATTTTGACACATACAAGTGTGTGTATAAAGCAGCAAAAATAGCTCAGTTCAATACTCCCGTGCTCTATGAGCACCGTCTTCACGTGCGCGCGCATATAGTGAAAGGAGTTCTCTTTTGCTGCTGATTGGGTTTCAACGGCTTAAAATCTATTGTTTTTAAAATGGAATGCTTAAAACATGTGTAAACAAGTTTTCGTGACCATGTAGCACAGCAACATCGCGTGAGCGTATAACAGTGATAGAGACCATAGTCTAAAATCTCTACCGGTTGATCAATTTCTACCAGTTAATCGTGTCTACCGGTATATAGCCCACCCCTACGAACATTTGCTAAAATGGTAAAGTACTCAGAAAGACAACATTATGGCCCTATAGCAAATGTAAGGAAAGTGAGAAAAGAGACTCTGCATGTGAAGAAGCTCCTCCCTGCTACAAACATGATTGTACAATATACAAGAAACAAGTTTTTGTACAGTGTAGTTGTGTTTCCTGTCACTGTGGACTGCAGGGCACAGTAGTACATGGCAGAGTCTTTCACTTCTGTAGAAAAGATGGTCAAATTCATACTTTTGGCTGCTTTATCAGCCGCTGCATTAGAAGGGACATTTAGATGCATTTACACTAGGGCTGAACGATTAATTGCATTTGCGATAATATCGCGATATGAAAAAAACGCGATTTTTCAATCGCAGAGGCTGCGATTACACTCGGTCACGTGACACGCGAGAGTAAAGAGGTGTGTTCGACATGAAGATCGATCGGTGTATGACATCAAAGTATGGCGAGAGAAAACATAAGGAGACGTCCGCGCTCTCTTATAGCTTTCGCAGTACTTTGATGACACACACCCATCGGTCTAAGCAGTACTTTATCTGACATAAAGGATCCGCGAATGAAACTGTGACCACAAACACCATTAACTTAAGTGAATTATATGGTAATGATCAGCAATATGCTTTTACACAAATAACTTTTATTTTTGAATGTTTCATATGTGTTGACACAAATGACTTATTTGAATTTTTCACTGATACACAACATTGCACTAAGTTGTTAGAAAAGAAA